TATTGCTCTCTTGCATTTTTGCTCTCAATTTCGTCAATATCAAGAAAAATACAAAAATATGAAATTTGTGTGAATTTTTAAGTTATTAATGATAATATTCGGGAAACGGAGCATATTACAAAAATACTTTGGGAAAGAAAGTTGTAGCTAATTTTATTCTTAGTAATATTGCTCTCTTTCACTTTTGCTTTCAGATGCATCAATACCGTGAAAAATACAAAAATATGAAAATTGGATGAATTTGTTGCTTTTTCAAATTGTCAATGGTAATACTCGGGAAACGGTGCATATTACAGAAAAACTTTTGGAACAATAGTTGTTGCAAATTTGATTCTTAGCAATATTGCTCTCTTGCACTTTTGCTCTCAGATGCGTCAATGTTAACAAAAATACGAATATATGAAAATTGGATGAGTTTGTTGCTTTTCAAGTTGTCAAAAGTAACACTCGGGTAACGGAGCAGATTACAAAAAAACTTTTAGAACAATACTTATTGCAAATTTTATTCTCAGCAATATTGTTCTATTGCACTTTTGCTCTCAGATGCTTCAATATCAAGAGAAATACGAAAATATGAAAATTGGACGAATTTGTTGCTTTTTCAAGTTGTCAATGGTAATACTCGGGAAAGGAAGCATATTAGAAAAAAACTTTTGAAACGAAAGTTGTGGCTAATTTTATTCTTAACAATGTTGCTCTCTTGCACTTTTGCTTTTAAATATGTTAATATCAAGAAAATTACGAAAATATGTCTATATATATATTTGTATTACCGTCATTATTTAGAACTGAAATTTCTTTATGCTTTTTAGGTTTGAAAACATTGGAAATTTTCGAATTAGCTGGAACAACAAGAAGTTTACTCATTGCATTGGATTATATAGGTTTTAATATTATATTACTACAAGATTGATATTGCAACATAACCTATATAAGACGAGTTCGATTAATCACATTTTAATCGCAATTAATTTTCAAATATTGATCCAACATAATTAATTGATATAAAATTAGCTATTTATTTATATTTCAAATCATTTTCTTTTAAATATTGTATTTATAACAATTTAATTTGAGAAATACTCAATCGAACATTAAAACATAACCTATAAATAAGCTGTCATGGAGGTTAAGAATTTTTGCCGAACTTGTTCAATTAAAACTTCTTCATTAATAAACATATTTGATAACGACCAAACCGATAATATCAAAGAAATGCTGCTTTTATGTACTTCAATAAATGTAAAGATAATTTTTCGTTTAATTATTGACTAAAATTTTATTTTTAGGTGATCGAAGATGAGGATTTACCCCATCAAATTTGTTTTAATTGTTTAAACGAGTTAAAACGATTTTATGCGTTTAGGGAGCTTACATTGAAGTCGGAGAAATTTTTTAAAACCGAATTGAAATTAATCGAAACTAAAACGCCCAACCAAAATAATTCTGTTTCAAAAACACAAAAAATCAATCCTACTAAATCTCGTTTATATATGTGTAATATTTGTGGGAAACAATTCGGTCAAAATTGGCATTTAAAGGGACATTTAATCACGCATAGTGGAAAAAGACCCTATGAATGTAAATATTGCAATAAAAGTTTTGCTGCACCTGGTACATTAACCACACATTTGAGAATACACACTGGAAGTAAACCACATTCTTGTAATCTTTGTGGGAAAAGTTTTGTTCAATCGAGTTGTTTAAAAGTTCATATGAGGGTTCATTCGAAAGAAAAAGTTGCTGAATGTAAGGTAAATATGAATGTTGAAAAAATGAATATGATTAAAAAGATATTTTTTTAGGTGTGTTGTAAACAATTTAGTCAAAATTCTCGATTGGTGACTCATATGAGGATACATACAGGAGAAAAGCCGTATTCTTGCAAAGAATGTGGAAAATCGTTTTCTGTTAAAAGCTCTTTGAATAATCATGTTCGAATTCATACCGGTGAAAAATTATATGGTTGTGAAATTTGTTTTAAGAGATTCACCCAATTATCTACTTTAAATAGTCATTTAAAAACACATAAATAAAATGAGTATTTTTCTTCAAAATATGTTTTAATCGTAATCATTAATTTTCTTTATTGGTAAAATCAAAGGTAATTCTTTAAATATTCTAGACTTAGACGTACTTGTTTCTTCACTTTGAATTAATTTCGGTTTTCTACATTCTGTATACGATCGCTTTTCCATATCTGGACAACATTTTAAATCACTTACTTTTTTATAAATCTTATCCATACTAGTCATTTTCAAAACAGATTTTTCCGATTTTTGATTCGTAATAGAACCTTCTTGTTTAGATCCGTTTATTTTAACTTGACTCGTTTTCTCTTGACGTGTTTTATCTTGACTACCTGTTTTTGCTACTAAAATAGTTCCACTTATATTTTTTGTTGCATTTAAACCTAATACATCAAAAGGTTGTTGGGTTTCTGTGGATTTATTTTTGTTGTATTGCTTCTTTTTAGCTAATTTCTGATTCATTTCTTTAGTNTTTAAACCTAATACATCAAAAGGTTGTTGGGTTTCTGTGGATTTATTTTTGTTGTATTGCTTCTTTTTAGCTAATTTCTGATTCATTTCTTTAGTGTCTTTTGTATCACTAATTTCTGAACATGATGACTCGTTTAGGTCGGCTTTTCTCCATTCAAATATGCCTGGTTGCAATAAAGGAAATAATATTGAAGTACTTTTACTATTAAAATTTTTTTCAAATGGTATAACTTGTATAGGTGGTAATGATTTTCGTTTCGATCCTTTTTCTGTTTGCTTTATAAAGTCTAAAGATGACGAATCGTTATTTAAATCTGAAAAAAATTTAATTTTTGTTACAGAAAATAATAATTGCAATTTATACAGTAAAACCTCGATATAACGGATTATATTTTTTAAATTATGCGTTTTATGCAAAAAAAATAGGCAATAACACTTTTAAGGAAAAAAATATATAATATATTTCTTGTACTTTTAAGGTGGTGATAAGTGATAAGACGGATGAGAAAGGAGAAGTAATTGACACAATTAAACACAGGAAACTGTTATATTTGGGACATATCATGAGAGGGGAAAGTATTAAGTACCCTCCAAGTAGTTATGCAAGGAAAAATCAGAGGAAAGAGATCCATAAGACAAAACTTATAGTTAAAGAACCTGAGGAAATGGTATGGCTGCAATGATAACCAGCTATATAGATTTGCGGTGTCAAAAGCGAAAATTGCCTTAATGATTAAGAGCATGTTACTAAAAAACTTTTAGAACAAAAGTTGTAGCAAATTATATTCTTAATAATATTGCTCTCTTTCATTTTTGCTCTTAAATGTATAGATATCGAGAAAAATAGGAAAATATGAAAATTTGACTAATTTCGATATTTTACTAGTTAATGGTAACACTTGGGAAACGAAACATGTCATAAGAAAACTTTTTGAACAAAAGTTGTAGCAAATATTATTCTTAGCAACATTGATCTCTTTCACTTTTGCTCTCAGATGCGTCAATATCGAGAAAAATACGAAAATATGAAAGTTTGATCAATTTCGTTGTTTTACAAGTTGTCAGTGGTAACGCCCGGGATTCAGAGCCTATTACAGAAAAACTTTTGGAACAATAGTTATTGCAAATTTTATTCTTAGCAATATTGCTCTCTTTCACTTTTGCTCTCAAATGCGTCAATATTGAGAAAAATACGAAAATAGGATGTCTGTTACTATTTCAAGTTGCTAATGGTAACACTCGGGAAACGGCGGATATTACAGAAAAGCTTTTGAAACAATAGTTGTTGCAAATGTTATTCTTAACAATATTGCTCTCTTGCACTTTTGCTCTCAGATGCGTCAATATTAACAAAAATACGAAAATATGAAAATTGGATGAATTTGTTGCTTTTCAAGTTGTCAATGGTAGCACTCAGAAAACGGAGCATATTACAAAAAAACTTTTAGAACAATAGTTATTGCAAACTGTATTCTCAGCAATATTGCTCTATTGCACTTTTGCTCTCAGATGCGTCAATATTGAGAAAAATACGAAAATATTAAAATTAGCTGAATTTGTTGCTTTTCCAGATTGTTTATGGTAACACTCGGGAAACGGAGCAGATTACAAAAAAACTTTTGGAACAATAGTTATTGCAAATTTTATTCTCAGCTATATTGCTCCATTGCACTTTTGCTCTCAGATGCGTCAATATCGAGAAAAATACGAAAATATAAAAATTGGATGAATTTGTTGCTTTTTCACGTTGCTAATGGTAACGCCTGGGATTCACACCATATTACAGAAAAACTTTTAGAACAATAATTACTGCAAATTTTATTTTTAGCAATATTGCTCTCTTCCACTTTTGCTCACAATTTCGTCAATATCAAAAAAAAATGAAAATATGAAATTTGGATGAATTTCTTGAATTTTCAAGTTATTAATGATAACATTCGGGAAGCGGAGTATATTACAGAAAAACTTTTGAAACAATAGTTGTTGCAAATTTTATTCTTAGTAATATTGTTCTGTTGCACTTGTGCTTTTAGATGCGTCAATATTAAGAAAAATACGAAAATTGGATGAATTTGTTGCTTTTCAAGTTGTCAATAGTAACACTCGGGAAACGAAGCATATTACAAAAATACTTTTGGAACAATAGTTATTGCAAATTTAATTCTCA